ATGGTTTAACAAGACACCAAGTTTGTAATAAGATATGTGGTTTAACAAGACACCAAGGTTGTAATAAGATATGTGGTTTAACAAGACACCAAGGTTGTAATAAGATATGTGGTTTAACGAGACACCAAGGTTGTAATAAGATATGTGGTTTAACGAGACACCAAGGTTGTAATAAGATATTGATATCTCATTACAACCTTGGTGTCTCGTTAAACCACATATCTTATTACAACCTTGGTGTCTTGTTAAACCAGATATCTTATTACAACCTTGGTGTCTCGTTAAACCACTGGTTTAACAAGACACCAAGGTTGTAATAAGATATGTGGTTTAACAAGACACCAAGGTTGTAATAAGATATCTGTTTTCAGTGAGACACCAAGGCTGTAATAAGATATGTGGTTTAACAAGACACCAAGGTTGTAATAAGATATGTGGTTTAACAAGACACCAAGGCTGTAATAAGATATATAGTTTAACGAGACACCAAGGTTGTAGGATTGGTGAGACAGTTTGTATAAGTACTACAAAGTAATATGTTTCTGTGAATCTAATGTTTCTAATGATTAGTAATATTAAAAAGAAAAACTTTTTGTTTAAAAGAATACTTGTATATTTTCCAGTATAATAACTTTTAAATATTATTATATTTTACACACACTAATTCTTCTTCCAAAATGATCATATTTTCTTTGTGGAAGTCGCAATAATCTGCGGAGGTTTTATTCAGTGTACAGCTGAAATATAGCGAAGTATAAAGACTTTGTTGTTGTGTTGATTTGGTTATTTGTCACACCACATGCTAGGACAGTAAGCCTAAAAAACATGTTTATTTTCTCAATATCTATTAATAAAAGTATTGCACTAGGAGTTCTCACTTTGGACAATCAAATCTCTTAGGTAGGATCAGCATGAATATGAAAACAGAATAATTACAAACCCTAGATCACAGTTAGAGACACTGTTTTAATGTGTTATGTTTATAATTACATATCACAGGGTATTTAAACTACCTAAACATATCGCTAGATGTCACTAAGTGACATTACTAGGATTTAATGTGTCTGTTCTTCAGCTCTCTCCCGATTGTTTATATTTTAACCCACAACAAGTTGTATTTTACCTTCTGTAAGGTGGTATCATCGTTTCGATTAAGTGATTAATCAGTCATTCTAGTGGCTTCCTAATAACAGTAAAACTATAATCACTTAGTTCGTGTATCGAACTGGGGATTCGAGGGTCTTATCTATATACATATATATTTTTGCTTTTCCATTACAATGTGATGTTATTCAGAATTCTCGTTCAATTAAGTATTATCGTCAAAACCAAAACATAAACCAGCAGACTTATCACAAGACGATTAATATTCTATTTATTAGGAACAATCTTTAGACTAGTAAAGACACGTGCTTTAAAATGTACTTAGTGTGAAAGTTGGTTCTCAAAAGTAGAACGTAGAATTCTCTTTCCCTCACACACACATTCTTTTATTCTTCACAATAAGGTTGGGAAATTATGCCTATCTAGAAACCCAAACTTCCCTAAATTATAAACTTGTAATATTCTCCAGCTTTCCTAAGTTATACACTTGTAATATCCTCCAACTCCCCTAAGTTATACACTTGTAATATCCTCCAACTCCCCTAAGTTATACACTTGTAATATCCCCCAACTCCCCTAAGTTATACACTTGTAATACCCAAACTCCCCCAACTTACACACTTGTAATACCCAAACTCCCCCAACTTACACACTTGTAATATCCTCCAACTCCCCTAAGTTATACACTTGTAATACCCAAACTCCCCCAACTTATACACTTGTAATATCCTCCAACTCCCCTGAGTTATACACTTGTAATACCCCCATGTCTCCTAAGTTATACACTTGTAATACCCCCATGTCTCCTAAGTTATACACTTGTAATACCCCCATGTCCCCTGAGTTATACACTTGTAATACCCCCAAGTCCCCTAGGTTATACACTTGTAATACCCCCAAGTCCCCTAGGTTATACACTTGTAATACCCCCAAGTCCCCTAGGTTATACACTTGTAATACCCCAACTCCTCTATTACTGAGCATTCTACGGTTCTCACGTGCACTGTTCTACTTTATTTTTACTTTGAAAATATTTTAACAAATTTCTAAAAATGTGTCAAAACGAAAGAAGCTTTACTTTAAAACATATTTTACATGCATCGAATTATCTGTACATTTTCAATGCTGATCTTGTTTTTCAGGAGCTGCACAAAATACTCGTGTGTAATAGACACATTAAAAACTATATACAATATTACATTATGAAACGGCACCTTTTACCCGGTTTCTTCCTTTCTTTATGCTACAGAACAAGCCTCGAATGAGAACAATCGTGCATGAGTGATAAAGATTGTTTGAACAATTATCAAGATAATGATCAGGATGTAAGTGTTATACAACACAGAATTCTGGTTTAAATATCGTGGTGTCGTAATTCAAGGCTTAGGTAGATTCAGTGAGATTTCTACACGTATTTCATGTGTCTTTGCACTACAGTGTTGTTCGATGTTGTAGTGAGTCAAACACTTTTAACTGATCACCAGCCGGAAGTGCATTCCTCTCATTCTCGTCTAGATATCCTAAATTTATTAACATCACTAACAGAGTAGTCCTGGAATCAAATACCTTTACAAGAGGGCGCTTTACTCACTAACAAAATTACTTGACGCTAAGAATAAATCAGATTTGCAGAAGGACGAATATATTTCATGTTTATTAGGTGGATCTCTGATAATAAATGATCTCCTTGCTACAGTGAATTTAGACACCTACCAAAACCCACGTGACGCGGCACGAGATTAGGTGGATCTCTGATAATAAATGTTCTTCTTGCTACAGTGAATTTAGACACCCATCAAAACCCACGTGACGCGGCACGAGATTTGGTGGATTTCTGATAATAAATGTTCTCCTTGTTACAGTATATTTAGACACCTATCAAAACCCACGTGACGCGGAACGAGATTTGGTGGATCTCTGATAATAAATGTTCTTCTTGCTACAGTGAATTTAGACACCCATCAAAACCCACGTGACGCGGCACGAGATTTGGTGGATCTCTGATAATAAATGTTCTCCTTGCCACAGTGAATTTAGACACATACCAAAAACCACGTGACGCGGAACGAGATTCGGTGGATCTCTGATAATAAATGTTCTTCTTGCTACAGTGAATTTAGACACCTACCAAAACCCACGTGACGCGGAACGAGATTAGGTGGATCTCTGATAATAAATGTTCTCCTTGTTACAGTGAATTTAGACACCTACCAAAACCCACGTGACGCGGCACGAGATTAGGTGGATCTCTGATAATAAATGTTCTCCTTGCCACAGTGAATTTAGACACATACCAAAAACCACGTGACGCGATAAACTATGTTGAATTTATAAAATTAGGATAACTTTCACGTTATCAATACATTTCTATGTTGACCATTCTTTTAGTCATAGCGGCTGTTCCTTGCTGGATTGTAGAAAAACACAACGGATTTTGGACTTCCTAGATAAAAGTAAAGTAGACAAATCAACTGTTATCGGACCTTGTTAAAAAAATGTCTTCATAGATCTACGTCCAGTCTTAGTTATTTTCAGGTGTGTGAAGATTGAAGGACACTTTCAATTGACTGTGGAACCGGCTTTGGGCATCAGAGGGGGTAGCAGCCCCGCTCTGACATTCTGACCAGTTGTTAAAGTTACCGGAGACCGATTGGGGTACGTTACACCATCCGGGTGGAGGTGGGTGTGCTGATTCTCCCACCCATTCCCTGCAGTATTGAGACCGTCATTCAGGTGCTGAGCCAAGAAAATTGATATGATGTTCGGGAGGTTCCGGATCTGCTCCTGAATGTTTTCTATTTCTCCCACCAGTGTCGCTACTTGCTTCTCCACGGTTTCCTGGCGTTGGTTCATATCAGAGACGATCTCGTACACAGTATTCTGAGTCTGAATAAGAGAAGTAAAGTTACTGAATACTCTTAGAGCCTTATGTTATGAAACTATTAGTGCTAGTTTAAAAATAGAGTTACTGAATACTCTTAGTGCCTTATCTTATGAAACTATTAGTGCTAGTTTGAAAATAGAGTTACTGAATACTCTTAGAACCTTATCTTATGAAACTATTAGTGCTAGTGTAGAAATAAAGTTACTGAATACTCTTAGAGCATTATCTTATGAAACTATTAGTGCTAGTGCAGAAATAGAGTTATTGAATACTCTTAGAGCCTTATGTTATGAAACTATTAGTGCTAGTTTAAAAATAGAGTTACTGAATACTCTTAGAACCTTATCTTATGAAACTATTAGTGCTAGTGTAGAAATAGAGTTATTGAATACTCTTAGAGCCTTATCTTATAAAACTATTAGTGCTAGTGTAGAAATAGAGTTATTGAATACTCTTAGAGCCTTATGTTATGAAACTATTAGTGATAGTGTAGAAATAGAGTTACTGAATACTCTTAGAACCTTATCTTACGAAACTATTAGTGCTAGTGTAGAAATAGAGTTACTGAATACTCTTAGAGCCTTATCTTACGGAACTATTAGTGCTAGTGCAGAAATAGAGTTACTGAATACTCTTAGAACCTTATCTTACGAAACTATTAGTGCTAGTGTAGAAATAGAGTTACTGAATACTCTTAGAGCCTTATCTTACGAAACTATTAGTGCTAGTGCAGAAATAGAGTTACTGAATACTCTTAGAACCTTATCTTACGAAACTATTAGTGCTAGTGTAGAAATAGAGTTACTGAATACTCTTAGAGCCTTATCTTACAAACTATTAGTGCTAGTGTAGAAATAGAGTTACTGAATACTCTTAGAGCCTTATCTTATGAAACTATTAGTGCTAGTGCAGAAATAGAGTTACTGAATACTCTTAGAACCTTATCTTATGAAACTATTAGTGCTAGTGCAGAAATAGAGTTATTTAATACTCTTAAAACCTTATCTTACGAAACTATTAGTGCTAGTGTAGAAATAGAGTTATTGAATATTCTTAGAGCCTTATGTTATGAAACTATTAGTGCTAGTGCAGAAATAGTATTACTGAATATTCTGAAAGCCTTATCTTATGAAACTATTAGTGCTTGTGCAGAAATAGAATTACTGAATACTCTTAGAACCTTATCTTATGAAACTATTAGTGCTAGTGTAGAAGTAGAGTTATTGAATACTCTTAGAGCCTTATGTTATGAAACTATTAGTGCTAGTGTAGAAATAGAGTTATTGAATACTCCTAGAGCCTTATGTTATGAAACTATTAGTGCTAGTGCTCAATTCGTGTGAGAAACACAAGCAGAAGTGATGAAACGATGTCCTAATGTTAACTATTAAAGTGTCACAGAGTATTTTTGTGTGTTGATCGTAGGATATATTTCTATTATCATGAATCAAACATCTTTCTATGAGATCGTTTTAGTTATGAACAGAACCACCAGGGTGTATTATTTAATACTTGTTTATATCCTCTTGTATGTAGTACATAATGTGACATAAGAAGTGGAACTTGAAGTCCAATATAAACAGTTCCTACCCGTAATATTTTTCCTGTTGTATGTAATACATAATGTAACATTATAAGTGGAACTTGTAGTCCAATATAAACAGTTCTTACCCTGTAATATTTGTCCTGTTGTATGTAGTACATAATGTAACATTAGAAGTGGAACTAGAAGTCCAATATAAGCAGTTCTTACCCGTACTATTTGTCCTGTTGTATGTAGTACATAATGTGAAACTATAAGTGGAACTTGAAGTCCAATATAAGCAGTTCTTACCCGTAATATTTGTCCTGTTGTATGTAATACATAATGTGACATTAGAAGTGGAACTTGAAGTCCAATACAAGCAGTACTTACCCGTAATATTTGTCCTGTTGTATGTAGTACATAATGTAACATTAGAAGTGGAACTTGAAGTCCAATATAAACAGTTCTTACCCGTAATATTTGTCCTGTTGTATGTAGTACATAATGTGACATTAGAAGTGGAACTTGAAGTCCAATATAAACAGTTCTTAC